GCCTCTGACGTCAGCGAGAGGGCTGGAATTGATGCAAAATACGAGGAGGAAAAAGTGGTCTCGAAAGAAGGCATCTTATACCTTCTGACGTTTACCGTGGAGTATGATCCAGGTACTGACTAGAGACGAAAAAATCTGAAGGGGTGTGTATAGTCGCAGTGCGGTGCTATAAACATTTGAACCGTTTCTTTGTCATCAAGTAATTCTGAAAGAAGAAATTCAAATCCAGTAACAAAAGCGTTTATCTGTCTGTTTCTGTTTTTACAGCGATGACGCAAAACGATCTTCTCCAAGTCTGGTCCGAATAGGGCAGCGCAGCCTTGAAGGCGAAAAAATCGGGAGTGGTACTGGATTTATGGAAGGTGGTGGCGGAACGAAAGGTAACAACGTTTAGTCATAGTCATATTATAACACGTTAAATGGTAGCAGATGGACTCTAGAGCACCATCACACACTCACACTCATTTAACATTTTCATAATACCTCTCCAATTCGGCTGCCAATCGACCGTTTACACATCAAATAATTACAAAGGATAGGCACAGATCTGCTATACTATCATTATTGTCGTCATCATTATCCATGCATTGGCATACGAGTGATTGTCACATGACCACAGTCCCCCTCAACGTGCAGTCCCGGATGACAGATATCCTGCTACTCCAATTCCTGCATCCTGAGCGACACAAATTTTGCATACCTTTCGCATACCCTCGGTTGATTGTTTTGTTTTTAATGTAATTGTTCTTTGGGCCCACAGGTTATCGCAGTTGTTTGTGTTGAGAATCCAGCAGAGGCCGATAGAATGTCATTAGACCTACCAATCATGAAAAAGATGGGAGACAGGGTCCACGTGGAGTGCAAATCAATAAGACCGATAGAGAAATGGTTCGAAGACCTCAAAAGCTTGCAGAATGGGCAATGAGTACTTGAGAGGACTTTCCTTAATTTAAGGCGATTGGTTCAACTAAATAAAATTAAGGACTCCAAATGTCTTTTTGTGTATTTTACTACGGGTTAATCAGAGTCATCAATAACAATACCAGCAACAATCAGGGGCACCCAACGACGGTTTCCTCCTAAATGTATTGAAAAGTCATTTTAGGCTATCCGGAGTACTTTTAGATCTCTAGAAATCCATCCTAAGGGGCGCAAAAAAGTGCTTCAGAGTTATTTTCCCGAAAATTTTAGATGCAATTGAACGTTTTAAGAAAGTGAGAATTTTTCTTATTCCTATCTCGGACCTCTCCATCACATTCTTGAATCCGAAAATTTTAGGTTGCCTTTTTTCTACGAAAATTAGCCTAATATAAGGAGTAAAATATGACAAATTAAACTTCAGAAAATCGTAGGGAATTTTTTAGACAAGCTTCGAAAATTGTACCTGAATGAAACGCTCATCTAGAATTTTTAGCCGTATTCAAGCAATAGAAAATTCTAGGCAATATTTGTTTCTGCGAACAGATATATTACAGTCGTTGGCTGCCCCTGAACAATAACCTTTATTTGCATGACTATAATTACTTAGAGTATTGCACCAGGTACGTAAAATAACAACGAAAAGAAAAAGCATTAATATTAATTATGGTAGTTAACAACAGAATCAAGTGACATTATTACATGACAGTATACTGTCACGCAAATTGTTCAATATCGACATATGATTCGTCAATCGTAAATTAAGATAACTATCTTCGGAGTTCGTCAGTTTAATCACCAGGTCCGAGTAAAATAACTGCTGAAAATTAGGGGGATAACTTTGTATTTTTTCTTATTCGAAATATTTTGGGCAAAAGCAAAGAAAGTGAATTTCATCTTCAAATTGATTGGAATCACAAACTGGTCATAACCTTTTGTCGTGAGGAGATTGGTCATATCTCGCCCCCTATGAATGAATGAATGAATGAAAACATTATTAATGTGTCTTTAAGAAACTAGCCATGGCTCTTGGGATGAGATATTCAGTCTTGCTTCAGATGAAAGTTTGTTCAATGGTTTTGGTCCTGTATAGCCGGTCCAGTGGACTCTTGTTGTTGAGACTGGTATTTAGTGGAATATATTGGACATTATTATACAATGTAGTGAATGCTATATACGCACGCTGAGATTTCGTCATAGAGTACAGACATAGAGATGACCTCACTGGTAACTTGTCTCATTGTCTTCTTTGTTTTGTCGCGCCACGGCGCCCCCGGGATTATTATACAGTGTAGTGAATGCTATATATGCATGCTGTGATTTCGTCATTGCCCATGATCTATTTAGAGTACAGACATAGAGATGACGTCACGCGTAACTTGTCTTCTTTGTTTTGTCGCGCACGCCACGGCGCGCGTTTTTGAAAGTGTGTGTGTGTGATAATTTTGGATTAAGCAAGTGAAGGCCTCGATAAAACGTAAGCACGCGTTGTTTAGACTGTTTAAAAGAAAGAAAAACGGAAAACCGAGACGAAAAGTGTTCTTTGCGACTTCAAAATACCTAGCCTGAAAGAAATCTTCAAAACAGTCATCGGGTGTCCTCGCTACGACAGACACTTGGTTTTGAAAATGTTTGTGATTTTAAAGCTTTGAGCGCCAAGTGATCGGCCTTAGATCGCGTTTGAGAGAAACTGCTGAGAAGTAGGGTAAACTGAAGGTGAAACAATCTTTAGCTTTGGTGATTTGGAAAATGCCTAAAGTAGAACAAATCCCTTAACAGTCAAGCAGTACGACGCAATTTTTTTTTTTCTTTTCTGTTCATTGTATAAAATGATATATTTCATATTGTCGTGCGTCTGTTCAGTAATTAAAGATCCGAAGACGTCAATATCATGTGGTAAAAACATCAGTGCCCAATTGCCTGCGGCACGTGTACCTCTTTTTTTTTTACCACATTTTGACGTCATCTGTGATCTATTGCACGTGAACAAACGCATGGCAACATGGAGTCTAATTCATGATAATTTTTTATTGGTGCCACAGTTGAATTCAGTACACGCGATCTATAAAGTCGTGCGAAAAACTAATACATGCTGGGTTAGTTATAATTCGTGCCGATTTTGCCGGCTAAAGAAAAACACCTGTAAGAACATTGGCTTTGCACGTAAAACTTGACATGAGTGAGAATTAAATGCCCACGGTCGAGAAAAGTTGAGAGTGTCCATAAGAACTAGGGTTAATTTTTTTTTTTTTCTTTCTGTGAATACTATTGGATCAGAAACTACAGACCAATATCAATAAGAGATTAAGACACCTCCATAAAAGCTCTGACTGATAGGTGGGTCATTATTAAAGAACGAAGCCGAAAATAAAACTCATGCAGTAGAGTGGAACCCGCTTAACTGTCTGCGAGTTTTACATTGAAGACGAGAAACACCATTTACTTTCTTGAGTTCAGTCGCAACTCTCAGCAAAAGAGGTTTTGGGACTTGCCTTTAGTATTTTACAAACACGAGACTTCAAAATGCCGTTGCTATATTTTTTTGAAACAAGCGTAGAGCACGGTGGAATGCCACCCAAGGATCTTTACAAACTGTGGGCAGAGCACGCGAAATCCTCTTGTAAATGGAACGATGAACAATTTATGAAATACTCCTTCAAGGTAAGTCTGTATACAAGAAAACTTTGAGTGAAATCTCTGTTAGAATGTACAGTTTATTTGTCGGATAAGACGTGCAATGAACCCTCTCGTGGCGATCACTAATAACTAGTCGGCTCTAACACTGAAGAATAACCCCTGTTAAGGCGTGCACCGACCCACACTATCCGAAAACCTTCTAAGAACCTTGAAATCATGACTAGAAACACTCGACGAGATTACATAAGCGGAAAAAATTTAATGCAAATTGGATCGACTACCATCAGTGCCCGTCTTTTTGAATTGCTTATGTAGTCCGCGGTCAGGCGAAACGTTATTATTTGAGATGCAGGATAGAAAGATACTTCAACCTTGTTCCCAAGGGACTTTCCTACCCTTACGCCTTTAATACGGCTTTAACCAGGCTAGGAGCCTGTTGAAGAGTGTCGGGGAACAGACATCCCCCCTCCATCAGAGGGAGGGGTGACGTCTGACACAGACTAGTGGCGAGGAGAACCCTGGGAATGAGAATGAATGCCGCAGCTGTTCACGGTCTATAATAATTCAAATTGAATAGAGTAGCTTAGACCAAGGTGCCTCGTGAGATACGAACTGAAAACCCACGATTATCATCTAAAAGAGCATTAATTCACCTTAGTTTTTTCGTCTGTGCATTCTCTTTCAGGTAGCGGGAGAGAGAACAGTCGTGGGAGGTATGGAGATATAAACTGATTGACGTTATAGTAAGACACAAATCAAATTGAGGAATACTTTTACTTTTCAGAACTTTTTGTAAAATTTCTGTCAAGAAAGTGGAAGTTTCACAGCCTAAAGAAACTTATTAAAAAGTAAACTGACTAGGGCCATGATTCAAAAGCTTGCAATTATCAGATATACACCTTATTGTATAGAGATATTGGTGTCCCAAAACAATGAAACGGCGGCCATGTTTGTGTCCCAAACCAGTCCTGTGGCAGTTGAACTCTTTTCTTATGTAAACACTTTCTTTTGTTCCAATAAATTTGCATAGGTGCTGGCCACGTGAGTGAAAACACTCTATACAAAAAAAGCAAAAACAACAAAAACCAAATAGAAATTATTAAGCCATGCAAATCAAGTTTTGATAGTTTGAAAATCCTGAAAACCATTTTATCAATAAAGTACAATATTTTGATTTGACATCAATTAAGGTGAGGAAGGTAAATTATCACCTAAAGATGTTTTCTGCTTTATTTTTTACTTAATCCCTAAATGTAGTGAGCTTATACACGGTCAATTTATTCAGTCCTTTTTACATAGCTTTAATTTTTCCAATTTTAACATTTTCCTATGACAATGTCATTGCACTAGGCCTTTCCACAGTTTTTTCAACTTTTGACATGGACAAGTTAGGGAAAATCCGTCGACTTTGCCGGAAAAAGCGCCTTTAAATTAGTTAACTTGCTAGGTGCGTATTCTAAGTGATTTGTTGAAACCTAACAAAGATGTATAGCTCCTCAAAGTCGTTTGTATGGTGGGGGCAAAAACTTGAACCCTCTCCTAACCATACAAACGTCTGTAAATTTTCGCAACTTTAATTGCGGAGCAATATCTTCGCTCGTTTAAGGCATGTCACTTTAATTATATAGAGGATATTACACGGTGGCGCGAAGATATGAGCGAGTGAGTTAAATATTGTTTTTACCACTCGAAAATAAAATTGATATCTTCGCGCCGCCGTATAATGTTCTTTTTATTATATAGACAAAATGACATCAATAAAATAATAGAGCCAAATTACCAAAATTACGTCATCGATAAACTCACGTGTGAGATTATCGAAAATAAACCACTCGGGTCCCGGATGTAGTTTTTATGAATTTTACGAGTGGTATATTTTCCAGTAAAACACTCGTGTCTATATAATAAAAGGCGCTCTTTCCAGTTGTGTGGACGCCGAATTTTCCCTAACTGGTTGGTTCATGTCGTGAGTCAGATTAGCTAAAAAACCGTACTGTAGAAAGGTCTGTTAGGACTGTGTATTTCAATAGTGTTGCTAATTTCTTTGTAAGATAAACTTGCACCCGTTTTTTCTCTTTACTTTACAGTGATATCAGTGGAGTCTCCCGGGGTACTAGACACATGCTTTGATGACTTTCCTCTGCCCCAGGCCCTTGGAGATCAGATCCATACACGGTTTACCCCCCTGAGGCAGTATGAAGGATTCGCCTCTGACGTCAGCGAGAGGGCTGGAATTGATGCAAAATACGAGGAGGAAAAAGTGGTCTCGAAAGAAGGCATCTTATACCTTCTGACGTTTACCGTGGAGTATGATCCAGGTACTGACTAGAGACGAAAAAATCTGAAGGGGTGTGTATAGTCGCAGTGCGGTGCTATAAACATTTGAACCGTTTCTTTGTCATCAAGTAATTCTGAAAAAAGAAATTCAAATCCAGTAACAAAAGCGTTTATCTGTCTGTTTCTGTTTTTTACAGCGATGACGCAAAACGATCTTCTTCAAGTCTGGGCCGAAGAGGGCAGGGCAGCCTTGAAGGCGAAAAAATCGGGAGTGGTACTGGATTTATGGAAAGTGGTGGCGGAACGAAAGGTAACAACGTTTAGTCATAATCATATTATAACATGTTAAATGGTAGCAGATGGACTCTAGAGCACCATCACACACTCACACTCATTTAACATTTTCATAATACCTCTCCAATTCAGCTGCCAATTGGCCGTTTACACATCAAATAATTACAAAGGATAGGCACAGATCTGCTATACTATCATTATTGTCGTCATCATTATCCATGAATTGGCATACGAGTGATTGTCACATGACCACAGTCCCCCTCAACGTGCAGTCCCGCATGACAGATATCCTGCTACTCCAATTCCTGCATCCTGAGCGACACAAATTTTGCATACCTTTCGCATACCCTCGGTTGAATGTTTTGTTTTTAATCTAATTGTTCTTTTGGCCCACAGGTTATCGCAGTTGTTTGTGTGGAGAATCCAGCAGAGGCCGATAGAATGTCTTTAGACCTACCAATCATGAAAAAGATGGGAGACAGGGTCCACGTGGAGTGCAAATCAATAAGACCGATAGAGAAATGGTTCGAAGACCTCAAAAGCTTGCAGAATGGGCAATGAGTACTTGAGAGGACTTTCCTTAATTTAAGGCGATTGGTTCAACTAAATAAAATTAAGGACTCCAAATGTCTTTTTGTGTATTTTACTACGGGTTAATCAGAGTCATCAATAACAATACCAGCAACAATCAGGGGCACCCAACGACGGTTTCCTCCTAAATGTATTGAAAAGTCATTTTAGGCTATCCGGAGTACTTTTAGATCTCTAGAAATCCATCCTAAGGGGCTCAAAAAAGTGCTTCAGAGTTATTTTCCCGAAAATTTTAGATGCAATTGAACGTTTTAAGAAAGTGAGAATTTTTCTTATTCCTATCTCGGACCTCTCCATCACATTCTTGAATCCGAAAATTTTAGGTTGCCTTTTTTCTACGAAAATTAGCCTAATATAAGGAGTAAAATATGACAAATTAAACTTCAGAAAATCGTAGGGAATTTTTTAGACAAGCTTCGAAAATTGTACCTGAATGAAACGCTCATCTAGAATTTTTAGCCGTATTCAAGCAATAGAAAATTCTAGGCAATATTTGTTTCTGCGAACAGATATATTACAGTCGTTGGCTGCCCCTGAACAATAACCTTTATTTGCATGACTATAATTACTTAGAGTATTGCACCAGGTACGTAAAATAACAACGAAAAGAAAAAGCATTAATATTAATTATGGTAGTTAACAACAGAATCAAGTGACATTATTACATGACAGTATACTGTCACGCAAATTGTTCAATATCGACATATGATTCGTCAATCGTAAATTAAGATAACTATCTTC